TGCTTTAATCCATTTTTTTCCCAAAAATTTTTTACAGGGAAGAATTGAAACAAAAAGTTTAACAGAATTGTTCGCATTTAGATTTAATCGATTGGCCTTTCTTGGCACGCCTTTTCGGTTCTGGTTAATGTTTTAAAAGTACACTAATAATGCTCTTTCGCGCTACAACAGTGTTGTATACTTGCAATATAAGTTACGATTGGCAATTTTCTTCTACAAAAAGAGACAACGTTCGAATATTATGTTTGCAATGTGTTTATTTTCGGGAAGATTGAAGTGAAGAGAAAGACATTTTTTGCATTTTGTTTTTGAGTAGAAGTAAACTGAGGTGACATCTCCCGAGTCGATCGCCAAAACGGGATTTAATTCAATAAGAAAGCTTACAGTTAGTTCCGAGTCTTCTTCTTTCTCTTGTGTACAGTTGTGTATAGTCGGAAACAACAGCGAAAAACGAAGATAGTTTTGTAATAGATAATAAAATCATTGCGGTGGATTGAAATTTGCAGGAATTGCACTGTTGCTGGACTGACAAAACAATACAGTAAAACGGAAGTTCGTTTTATTAAACGTGTTCGTACAACCGAACAATTTAAGCTGGAAGTTTGTTATCAACAGATCATACTGTACATTTCAGTTACTATTCTTTTAATATGCTTTTTTAATTACATTAGGAAACTTTATAAATAAAAATAGTTCCGCAAATACCATGAATTCGGATTAGAGTAGTTTGTACACTTTTGAGGCTTGTTTGTGGTATGTATTAACGTCGGAATTAGATTACGAAAAGGATTGAAACGGATTCTCATGAACAGCTAAATCAACACCAGGTTTTATTGAAGTACATAACGGTGCAGAACTCTGCAGTGCGCAGGCGCGCTACTACATATATACATTTGAACTGCCATAGATGGCGCTGCGATACATAGCAGTTTGATTCGAGGGAACGGTGTTATTTTTTATTGGCTCTGTTATAAATCTAAATAACATTCCATAAATATATTTCTCATTGTTTAATATACACCTACAGCAGCGTACTATCAACAAAAAGAACGATTTTCGGCTCTTCGTTTGGTGTTTGAAATGACTATCGGGTCTGTTGTATTTATTATAAGGATCAAATTAAAAGTAGAAGCAGTAGAAGTCTAAAGGTTTCTTACGTGCATACACTAATTTGTCCTCACGTGCCTTTAGTAAACCGTGGCGTTCTTTTAGCGCCATCTAGTGCTTTACGTTGAATTCAAAATTATCGATTGTTCGTTGTAATGATCGACGATGAATCAACAGTTATATCTGACCGTATTCTTTTTTAAGATTGACCTATATAATGTTTATGCGATAATATATATGGAAGGCTCAGTTCAGACTTTGATGTTCTCTACACCTTTGCAAAGAGCTGTCTTGACACCACTGAGACAAATGAAACGGAGCAATGACGCACGAATAAAACGTGATTTCGTCGGATGACAAAGGCGCAAAAGCAAAGACAGAAAACAGACCAAACGAGAGGAATGAAGCGAATTTCGTTCACATTAAAAGCGGTGGAAAGAGTGATCGTGAGTTGTACCTTTATACTTTCATTGACAGATGGCGTTTTAAAAATGCAATACATACAGTGACTAGATATATACAGTGTGGCCACGCAATACGTGCGCTTAGAAGTAGGAATGAATTATCGCGGTAACTGCGTGTGTGACGTGACTTTGACTTCACTACTACTCCATCGGAGGCCGAGAGAAAGACGAGCCAGGGTGCGTTTTAGTTACGTGACAAACTTAAAGCCTGTAACCGCTCTTGTGTTTTTATCTACACGCGCTGCACGTTCGAATTGCGAAAGAATAATTTCAGTTAAAAGAAAAGAAGTAACTAGAAGTTTTTTCAGCAGTTTTGTTTTAGAAAATCCGTTCTGAGGGCAGATGGCATATGCCCGTAAGACAATTGCAGACTTCTACCGCTTGCAAATGTTTATTGATATTTATAACAAATACAACTGACCCAATTGTCATTTCAAATGCCAAGCAAAGAACGGAATTCATTATCAGGTTTCAAAGCTAAATGAATATTTACTAAGCGATTTGGCAGGAAACAGATTGCGGATCAGGTGTTAGCTGTTATTTCGAGAAAGAGGTGAGAAAACCAAATGATAAATATTCATCTTTATAATTAATGTTAATTGAAACCATTTGATTACGGCAAATAGATTAAAGAAATAAGTGTTTACTGACATGCATCAGTAAACACTCGTGAAAGCCTATTTATTTAGACTGACTAATTTGATCAGACCCTTCGATCGCACGAGCTCAGAACTTCCTAGCGAGAAAGAGATTTATGAGCGTGTCACGCAATTACTCCAACAGCCTTTCATTGACCATGCTGCGGAAAACTTCTACAGTATGAATGCATGTACAGATTTTATAGCAACGAATCTTTTGTGTTAGAAATTTACTTATTTTTTGCAAGTGTCCGTTTGTAACCTAATTACTAACTACTCTTCGTATTGAAAAGAAAAGGAAAATGTTCTTAAATGCAAACAGAAATAATTAATAATTATATTTTCTAATTCGATAAATTCAATTACTCCTTTTACTTTCACCATTTTTATTTTACATAACGGCAGTCGTAGAAAGTGAAATACCCGAGACAAATTTGTGAGAAATAATTTCAATTTATATACTGATATACTCAATTATATTACGTAAAAGTTAAAAACGAGATGAAAATTATATTTAGATATCCACAATTGGTTGCGAGTTGTTTAACTTAAAATTTGTTACTCTACATGTAAATCTTATTTCGTTAATCAGAAATTTATTTTAAAATTTTCATCGTCGATGATTGCAATGAACAACGGATAATTTTGAATTCAACGAAACCCAACAAAACTATGTCTAATACATTTACATCTGAGGCTGGTGTAAGATAGGGATGTATTCTTTCCTTTATATTCTAATGCCTATTCTGAAATAATAATGAAAAGGTTATTACTAATATCCTTCTCATTATTATTTCAGAGAAAACCTGGTTTTTTCCAAGTTCTGATTCACTGGATGCTATAATAAGTGTATTGTCAGCCTACCTCAGATTGTTAACTTTATGGCCCCCGATGGAGATGCCTCTGTCTTAATTATCTAATACCTTATTAGATAACTGGGACAGAGGCATCTCCATCGGGGGCCATAAAGTTAACAATCTGAGGTAGGCTGACAATACACTTATTATAGCATCCAGTGAATCAGAACTTGAAAATATTATGAAACGTCTTGAAACTGGGAGCAGGGAATATGGATTGCTGATTAATGGAAGTAAAACGAAAGTTATGATAATTGATCATTCCTTGGCACAGACTAAGGAAATTGCAGGCTATAAGGTGGAGAATGAATTTGATTACCTTGGATCACTTCTTACGAATATAGGAGGATGCGATGATGAAATTAAACGCAGAATTTGCCTCGTTCGCAACGCAACCTTTAAATTATTTAGAATTTGGAAAGATTCTGCGATTGCTATTTTCAATAAACTAAAGCTCATAAGAACGCTTATTTTTTCGTTCGCCACTCATGCCTTGGAAACCTGGACCATAAATGCCACTTCTTGGAAGAAACTTGATTCCTTTGAATTATGGACATATAGAAGAATGCTGAGAATCTCTTGGACGGAGCACCAAACAAATTGCTTCATCCTAAATCAACTGAAAATCACAACACTCCTTACCACTAAAGTATACCAATCCTACCTTCGCTTCTTGAGACATATTTCCAGACGCAAAAATGGATTTAAGATACAAATTCTAAAAGGGAAGATCAATGTCAAACGCCCTAGAGTCAGATTAAAATCAGATGTCGGATTAAGTGGGAAGACCCAGTAATGATTATTACAGGATATACAATGTATTAAGCCATCCATATGGCTCAACACTGGGAACAGTGGAAAGATACAATTAAAGTCGTCTATTCGTAATATTACCACGCCTTTGAAGGGCATAGGACTAAGAAGAAAAAGATGTGTAAATCATAAGAAAATATTTCAAAATACAGTAGAGCGTCGTTTATCCGAAAGTCGGTTATCCGAAAGAATTCTAGTCGGTAAATTTAAATTTTCGCCAGTGCTGTGGCGCTGCAATCTTTAGCTATGTCTTGAGCTACTCAAATATTTTATGTTTTTGATACTAAATTAACTTCCGAGTATAATTTTTTATTGTTTTTATATTTTTCAATATATTAATTTTGTTTGTACAAAATAAAGAAATAATTTTTAATGATACAATAGCCAGGATTATTATTTAAAAAAATGTATATTAGGCTTAACATCGACGAAAATTCAACGCGAAGCGACACGCAACGGAGAAAAATTTCAATACCGGATAAGTATTGAAATATACGAAAATATATTTTTTCGTACATAGTCGGTTATCCGAAAAATAAGTTATCCGAACAACCCCTGTCCCCCAATTGATTAGGATAAACGACGCTCTACTGTACATTTAATAATAAAGAAAACATTCTTATATTATTTGTGTTACTTGACATTGTTTTATGGTAATGTTGGCGACTACGTGGAATGAAAAGGGTTATCTTCTAAAAAGTCTACAAGCATTTAATTTTCCACATCTAACAACTCGAGTTTTTCGTTTCTAAACGGTACTTTCTGAATTCTAATAAGTGCCCTCCAGTCGCCGAGTGGATAAAACCACCGAACTCTGCTAGTTAGTTTCTTTATTATTAACCGATACGGTTAATAATAAAGAAACTAACTAAAAAAAAATATTTTAGAATATTTTCTTACGATACGTAAGAAAATATTCTAAAATATTTTTTGCAATTTACATGTAGCGTAAGAAATTTAAGAAAATGTATTTGCTGATTTACATTCGATCCAAACATCCCATTTGTTCATTTACAGGTAGCGCCATCTTTTGGCGCTATGTGTAATTCTGCAGATCGAATTTTTACATTTTATTAAATTTTTTGCAATAGATGGCGGTACATTTAAACTAGGAAATCGAATGGAGATAGAAATGAATTGATTTAAAGAAATCCAATAGATATTTTGAGATGGGATTTCGACGTTATTTAACTTTTTGAGGATCAAGGAAATCGGATAAAAGGGAAATTTTCGTGGGTCACCTGTCGAGTGAGATTAAATTTAATGAAAATTTTGCTTGTCATTAGCATTTGCAATTTGTTTAGAAATTACTGCAAAATAAGGCACGTGTCATTTTACGGTAAGCAATAGAACAAACTTTACTTTTTACTAAAATCTCGTCAATTATAAGCCACTAACGAAGTAAATTATTAAAAATTAAAATTTAGTCGGAGGACTCACGTCGCTTCTTTCGAAAAAATGGTGTCTAGTGTCTAAGGAAATTAGTCTTACGTCTTACAATTAGACGTCATCGTAAATTTATTTATATTTTAATAATTAATTTATTTGCTTATTTATTTTTTCTATTAATTTGTAACCAGTGGCGTAGCGTAGTGGGGGCCGCAGGGGCGGGCCACCTCGGTCAGCACTTGTTAGGAAGCGGCAAAATTTCACAATAAATAATAATAATATCTTGTAAAAATTTGAACCATTTCATTTCATAATTTCGTCGCACCTACGATTCGGACCGATTGAAATGAGCACAGAATAGTGTTACTATCCGGACAGTCCGGGAATCGACTTACCATCCGTGTGAACTGTTAATTTTACCCGGGGATATCGTGAGCAACTTGTCGACCTTTTTTTTCTGGTTGTACGATTCACTCGTATTTATATACACCTCCAATATCCAATAGAGCTAAGTCATGTAGGTTACTTACGTTACTTCTACCCAAGTCTCCCTAGTCACTAACTATAACTGATTTAGAACCAGCATTCACTACAGATTATTCTTCGCATTGCAAAATGATATACGTATGCGTCAGGAACTTCTGTTCGAACAAACCTCACCTGCCGTCCGGGTCAGCGATTTTAAAAAGGTGGCAACACTACTTGTGTGCCAAACTTCCATACGTGCCATAATCGTTTATATTATGAACTACAGTACAGCATCGGTTATCCGACTCAATTGGGGACTCGGGTTCGACGGATAACTGAAAAAATCGAATAACCGAAAAGAATGAAAAAAATACATTATAAGTAGAGTATATTAGTATATCCTATGTAATTAGTATATTAGTATATCGCTATTAACCTACTTCGCGTTGAATTTTCATCGATGTTTAGCCTAACAAATTTTTTTTATAATAATAATCTTCGCTAAAAAATTATTTTTAGCGAAGATTAACGTTAAAAATTATTTTAAAATTATTTTATTGCTCACAAAACAAACAACCACTCATAATTAGAAAATTCGGTCTCGTTTAAACACTGGCTCGACCATGAAAGGTCGAGCCAGTGTTGCCAGCTAAAACACGCAAAAATTTAACAAAAATAATATTAAAGTAGCCGAGACATAGCCAAATATTGTAGCGCCACATCACTAGCGGACATTTGAAATTTGCCGACTAGAACAGTCAGTTAACTGATGTGACGGTTAATCGGGGATCTGGTAATTGATGCTCTACTGTATTAATACAATTTTAATTTTATTTTGTTTAATCACAAATAAAATATCAAATGCATGTAAATGCACACATTGTCTTGCAAAAATTACTAGCATTTTAAACTTTAACAAATTATGTTGTTGATTTTACAAGATTTTTCTTTAATGTAGAGTTGGACAATTGGAAACTTTTTTTGCCAGTTTTTAACAGTAATCCACTCTGTGTCCATTACATTTATGAGTTTCTCTGAATTCTGATTTCAAATAATCATCTATTTTCATATGAGAATGGATTAAAACTTATATTGGGCTTCCGTGTGATTTTGGAATTCAATTCTAAAGCATTGCTTTTCCTATTGCTATTCATCTTTACTCCTGACAATACCCAAGAATGATTCAAATGACCCAGATAAAATACTTTTTTTTTAAACACCAGAGGGTGAGCAAGCAACCAGTAAAAAGTTTGAATACATGGTTCACAAAAATGATTGCAAAAATGCAAAGAATCTTTTGCATGCATGTATAGGAAGACCTAGGATTTTGAAGCAGTGAAAAATGAATAAAAACCTCATCTTATATATGAGTAAATATGGTAAATGTTTTATTTAATAAAATATTTAAAATATAACTTTAATAATAATGTTTTACAATAACTTATAGTAATAATTTAATATATAATAAAGTGAATAACAAAACATATTGAAGATATAAGTTCTTTCATTGAATTTCATCTTTTGCACTTCAAGCTTTAGGCCATAACAGTTATTATTCATGCTAAGAAAAATCCATCTATATTTTAACTTCCTAATATGGATGAATTTTTTTCTTTTCTTGATTTTCAATTTCTGCATGAACTTTAATAAACTTAAGAGCGTCAATGTATGAATGTATGTTAAATTCAGTAATGATTGCAACAATACTGTAAAAGTTTGGAAAAATAGCAGAGATAGTTATTATAACTAAAGAGCTACTGTGCTTTTAATAGCTCAAGCTGCTGTTCATGCTAAATACAAGGTTTGCTAAGAAGAAACAAGAGAGAATGAAATGAAAAGTGGAATTAAAGAACAGTTGGAGAAGAATGACATGACACTTATCTAAAAACTTTGAGTCTAAGTCCAAAATTTGTATATTTTAACAGCATTAAATAGATATTGCTGGTTGTTGATCATCAAAGCATAATTATTAAACATAACCTACTGGTTGTGTTTTTATATTTACAAATCAGTGAAGGTAAAATACAACTATCATGTTTAGTCTAAATACAAACAGTAGTTTTGCTGTTGTATCTACAATACTGACATAATATATGAATATTGTTAGTATTGTAATATATGAATAGCTTGCATAACAAAATTTTTAAGTCAATTTAAGACTGCAGTGCAGAAAGTTGAAATTAGTTTTTACATCGTAAAAAGAAATTGTATGCTGATTCAGAAAATAATCAAATATTTTTTCACAAGTCTGGCAACATGTTTGCAAAATATGTATATTATGTTTGTTTATTTATTTTATGAAGATTTAAGAAAAAGTACATGGAAGTAAAAAATGTCCAAGGAATCAAAAGTTTGGAAATTATTCAAGGTGTATTGCATTGACCTTTTGCACATTTCCTTTAAAAAGTTCCAGCTATAGAAAATATATTTTTATTCTTTAAGGTGGTTTCAAAGTTAGAAACTTCATGGTTAGATGGCCAAGGTAGTTGAGACATCCTACTGCTTTGGGGATGCTATTTGGATCAATTCTGGGATGAGCAACCCCAGGAGTTTTTCATGAGTTGGTTGCACTGGATAAATTGGGTTCTGTTTCTCACCACCCAACTGCCTCCAACTGTACCCATAATGAATACTAAATGAAATATTATGTGTATTTATAGTAAACTTTATAATGTTTAGTTGATATATTTCTGTTTAAGGTTTTTTTTCATACAATAGTGGTTGTTTTGTGCACATTTGAAATGACATGNGAATTATTTTTTTTTTGTCATTCATTACGCGTGTTGACAAAGTGCGGTTCACATCTAAAGATGTTTCTCAAACTTGTTCTCCTTTCTCTTTCCTTACTGACTGTTCGGGAAACTGCAAATTTGGGTGAGTACTGCGAATCTAACGAATAACGTTTTGCTCTTTTCCACTACAATTAATACGGACACATTTAATACAGTAAAACCTGTCTATAGCGACCACCCACGGTTCCTTCAAAAAGTGGTCTTTTAGACAGGTGGTCGTCCAATGCAGGTAGTCCTGTAATAACGTATTTCCGTACGTATTTTGCGCACTTTTTAGCCATTTCTACTAAGCAAAACTCGAGGCGAGCAAAAATAAGCGAATTTTTTCAACGATAGGGCTATATTGGTACTGTATTTTATTCTTATCGGATAACCGGATTTACGGGAGTCGTCATGATATTATAAGACAAATTTAATACCGATATTTTAAAGATTAATACAATAGTCGCATTTTTTCCATTATAATGCACACTTTCTTTTTTCCCACTTAATTAATTCGACTCGGTTGTTTTGGTTGGCTCCTCAGTTACGTGTATTACGTCGTCGATATACAAGCGCGTCTTATCTCTCCATCACTTTGCTTTTGGTTTTCGTCAGTNGCTAAAACACGCAAAAATAATATTAAAGTAGCCGAGACATAGCCAAATATTGTAGCGCCACATCACTAGCGGACATTTGAAATTTGCCGACTAAAACGGTCGGTTAACCGATGTGACGGTTGATCGAGGGTCGGATAATCGATGCTCTACTGTAATTACATAATATGCTATTAATAATTGATTAAAGCTTTATCGCACTGTTAAACGTATTTATTAATTAAAATATAAAATAATACAAAAACAATTAAAATTGTATTCAAAAGAAAGACGAAAGAATAACATTGTTCTTTTAAATAGAAGAGAATCTCACTATAACGAATTTTTGGGACCCCGTATATACTTATAAGTATGAAAATGAATGAAAATAATAAAGCAATAGGATGAAACAGGTTAACAGTTAATATGAATTTCTCTTATTAATGAAAGACGCTATGTATGTTGCTTGTGTTCTAATTTATTTATTCCTATAATTAGAAAATTTTTAGTTCTGAAGTTGTCAATTTAATTCACGCTTCCAAATTATATTTTTCCTACGTCTTGGTTTCCTATACAGCACAAAAATAATTAAAATGAGTGGAGTAATGTATTCCCCTACTTCTGATGTTTTTCTTTTACTTCCGGTTTATGTTCCAACGTGATAAATCTTTCTTACGCCTGACTAAACCAGATGGAATTTTAATACAGTACCCAAATTAATCTCTGGAGCAGAGTCGTTAGATCACCTGATCTATTAACTATCTCTCTCCAGTACTTGCCAAATAGCAGCTAGAGGCAAATGTTCTCACGGGACGCTGCAATCACTGGAGGAGATCAAATTTTTTTAATACAAGATATTTGGCCTTCAATTTTCTATGTGAATTTTATTATACGAATAAAAAAGACTTTACAGCCGAAAACCGATAATTTGATCGAATAAGCTGCTAACGTATACAATGATGTAAACGAAGTATAAAGAAGAGAATAATTTATTCTTTTTACTGATATTCGTCTGCGTTAGGTGGATTTTCAAGTAAAAATCTATTTATGAAAACCAAATTTTAATTTACACCTCCCATGAGAAATATGATATTTTATTTCAATCAATCCAGTCTTAAAAGTAGGGGGATTGCACTAATCTCAAATCCCCGTGTTTATCAATAATTTTATGAAATAAGCGAACATTGGTATGACGCGCGTGCAACTGAAAGGAATCACATAATTAACGGCCTTGTCGAAATACATAAATAAAACACGTCTGTGCTTGTTCGAAATGCAGGTTGTAAGGTGACGCACCTACTGACCATTGTTCTCAATTATTTCTGTTGGATCGAACTAACATTCGTCTACAGTAACAAGCAATTTCGCAAACGTGCAACAATGCAACAAGCCAGAGAACAATATGAGATGTGTGTCGTTGAATTTACTAAGAAATTAAATATTATTGCAAAATTAAAAGTTTAATTTAAATTCTCCATCCAATTACAAGAGTTAAACGTTCGGAGTTCAAATTGCACAAACTTCTATGTAATTTTTAACGTGTTTAATTTTTAGATATTTTAAATATTTTGTTAACATCGGCTACAGTTGATTCGCAGTCTTTACTGTCGTTTATATATTTAATTACTAAATTGAAATTATGAAAATCAATACTTGTGAGTTTATAAATTAAAATCTTCAACAAAACTTTCGTATTCCAAGTTTAACTTATTTTATCGAATTAATATTAATTTTTAAACGCCATTGAAAACAAACACATGCATGTATTGTATATGCCCTAGAGACCCGAGTAGTTTTTGTTCCACCTTTTCAATTATTACAATTTGCTGAGCCATTGCCAGAGCACTCGCACCTCAATAATAATAAATTGTTCTACCTGAATTATTTCATAAAATTAGCGCGGGTCCTATAAGCCAAATTCCTGCACCTTCTCAGCTTAAACCGAAAAAAACGTTTTTGATAAGAAACGTTTAAAAGCGCTAAGACGAATCACATATAATTGTAATTAATTAATAGACCGATACGTTTTACTCTCGTCTCGTGACGTGGCCAAATACAAAGCAACTTAATTAATAAAGGCACGTGATGTGACTATTTATTTCCTCGCTTGTCACGATTTATTTTTTTTTTTTCATTCATTACGCGTGTTGACAAAGTGCGGTTCACATCTAAAGATGTTTCTCAAACTTGTTCTCCTTTCTCTTTCCTTACTGACTGTTCGGGAAACTGCAAATTTGGGTGAGTACTGCGAATCTAACGAATAACGTTTTGCTCTTTTCCACTACAATTAATACGGACACATTTAATACAGTAAAACCTGTCTATAGCGACCACCCACGGTTCCTTCAAAAAGTGGTCTTTTAGACAGGTGGTCGTCCAATGCAGGTAGTCCTGTAATAACGTATTTCCGTACGTATTTTGCGCACTTTTTAGCCATTTCTACTAAGCAAAACTCGAGGCGAGCAAAAATAAGCGAATTTTTTCAACGATAGGGCTATATTGGTATTGTATTTTATTTTAAAGATTAATACAATACTCGCATTTTCTCGATTATAATGCACACTTTCTTTTTTCCGACTTAATTAATTCGACTCGGTTCTTTTCGTTCGCTCCTCAGTTACGTGTATTACGTCATCAATATACAAGCGCGTCCTATCTCTCCATCACTTTGCTTTTGGTTTTCGTTAGTTTAATCTTATTTTAACTTTAAAAATACTGTATTTTTTAAATATTTAATATTTTCTTAATTAATTAAGTACAATAAGAAAAATTATTAATTAATAATAAAACGATTTTATTATTTTATTCTCGTTATACAATTTCATTACAATCGCGAAATCGAAAAAGGAAGTAAAACTGATTAATGCGTTTATTGTTTTTTGAATATTTTGCCTGCGAAAATTACTTGGATATTATTTTTCTAAAAATATCGCGGAAATAAGGTAGGTTTATACAGAAACTATTTATCGCACGTGTACTGTATATGAGCTTCAAAATAAATAAATAAAAATAGATTTTATCAAACAATGAGATCAGCCGATTAATTGTACCGTGTACAATATTTTACACCCCCTAGGAAAATACTGTAGGTCTAGGGTAAAATAAATTTTGTTTTCCCACAGTTAAACTTCGCCGCTAATTGCTATTGTGATAACTTTAATACGATCTTCTAACGTCAGCTCATTTCTTTCGTTTTTCGGATATTTTCCAACAAACTGAAATGAATTTCCTGTGTTGATAGACTAATTTATTAACACCTGCTCCTAATTTCAAGGGTGGAAGCGTTGTTGAGATGGGTTATTACCATAGTTTAGACCAGATACATTCGCGAAAGTGGTCGCTTATTACGGGTGTTGTATGTTGTTTCGGACCAAAAATCGATGCCCGCGGTCGCGTTACTCGGGTGGTCGTTTAATACGGGTAACTTATACGAAGACTCTATGGATAAACTATTCGGTGCCAGAAATTTTTGTCCGTTTTGACAGGTGCCCGTCGAATGCGGGTGGTGGCCTAAGTAGTTTTCACTGTAATTTAAAAATTTTGTTAATATCGGCTACGTTTGATTCACCGTCTTTACTATCGATTATATATTTAATTACTACATTGAAATTATGAAAACCAATACTTGTGAGCCTATAAACTAAAATGTGCAATTAAACTTTTGTATTCTAAATTTAACTTATTTTATCGAATTAATATTAATTTTTAAACGCCATTAAAAACAAAAACATTTATGTACTGTATATGCTCTAGAGACCCGAGTAGTTTTTGTTCCACGTTTTCAATTATTACAATTTGCTGAGCCGTTGCCAGAGCACTCGCACGTCAATAATAATACAATTTATAGATAAGCGGACAATCTCCCCGTACGAAGTTTAGATTAAAGCATAAAATATTCATCTCGGCTTTACAAATGTTACTATTTTTCGTATATAATTTTGGGCTTAATTCTCTGCTTAAAGAGCTTTTAAACAATTTTAAAATTTAGTCATATAAGAAACACTTTTTCTACCTAAATTATTTCGGATAATTAGTACGAGTCCTATAAACCAAATTCCTGCTTCTTCTCGGCTTAAACTGCAAAGAACGTTTTTGCTTAAAAAACATTCAATAGCGCGGCGCGTTTCATAAAGCGGATCATAAATTCAAATAATTATATTTAATAGAGAATTACGTTTCACTCTCGTCTCGTGACGTCTGCAAATACGATACCAAAATAATGGATATTTGCTAAAAGCACGCAAAGTGAAGATTTAGTTCCTCCTTTGGACGATTTCTCTTTTTCGTCATTCATTACGTGTGTTGTCGAAGTGCGGTTCACACCTAAACATATTTCTTTTCGTTGTTCTCCTTTCTCTTTCCTTAGTGATGGCTTCCAAAGCTGCAAATTTGGGTGAGTACTGCGAATCTAACGAACGTTTTGCTTCTTTCCATGACAATTAATACGAACACATTTATATATTTTATTTATTGTATTATATCTGAGTCTGTTTCAGTATACTTCGATTATAATAATTATTGCTTAAGTTAAATCGGGTTAGTTGGGCTTATATCGAGTAATTTATCGTAATCCCATGTATATAGTATCACTGATATTTTATATAATTTTGGGTAAATTTTCTGTCGTAAATAGTAAATTTGGGGAACTCACGTCAGGGAGATCCGAATTACAGATCATTCCAATAGATGCAATAATTGCTATAGGAATGCTTTTTGTGAACGGATGAAAAACTTTAGCAAGAAAGTTTATAACTTTCGGTGAGAATTTCTTTTAAGTTATTTACATTTAATACAAATTTTTCAATATTTTGCAGAAATGGCGAATCAAAGTAATGTCGTAAGAATTGCTAAAGCACTCGTAAGTATCGTTTTTAACTTAATATTAAATAAAAATTGTTCTATGTCAATAATAGACGGTGCATTAATTAATTAATTAATCAGTTCTAATACTTGCTTCGTTTGACCTAACACTTTAACTAAACTAAACTAAACATTGTGGTGAGATAGATGCTATTTTTATTTTTTCAAGTAACTTATCTTCCTTTGAGTACATACAATCATCAATATTCGTAATGGCCGATTTCATATCAAATGAATTTTTCGGCTCTGCTTATGGTATGTCGGGCCCCTTCTTTTTCTGTTTGGGCCCATCATCTCGAGTCCGTTTGAGTCCACAGCGGGCCAGTAAGACATTCCTTTTAATTGTATTTGTAGGCGGTAACTAAAAGAGACCCATCAGTGTTCTCCCGTACCAAAACGGACAAAAATAAATAAAAATGTTCCAGACTGGATTCGAGCCTGCGCCTGGCGTTTTAAATGGATATTGATCTGGAAAACAGAAGGATAATTTAATTTAACTATTGAAGTCTGTCAGCATAGCGTAAAGGTTTATTGTTTGTTTATCACTCGACTTTCCCTCCAAAAAACATGATTTTTCTTATAAAATTCTTAGTTATATTTAGTTCTTTTTAATCTTAATAGGGCGTGCACTTTTAAAAGCCAAGTACTTGCGCTAGTATAAGGCGTAAAGGTAGGATGCTTTTTGCTTCGGCTGTCATATTGTGTTTACGTCGCTTCAAATTGCTTAGTTACGTATTTAAACTTTATTGAAATGCCGGTTTAATTGTTGTAAACCTCAGTGTAATGTGCCGATAATAAAAGATGACGAGGTTTTAAATTTGCAAATTTTCGAATGACTGAATAAGAAAAATAAAAGGGAAAATAAAAACCCCAAAGAAAATCAATGAATACATTCGGACCAGTATCAGACATTTTGATAAAAATGATTACGATATTACTCGTATGAGCGAGTTTATAGGACACTTTCTAATTTACATGTTTTAAGAAGTAAAAGTAGAATGACTTTTACGCGATAAAAACTGTATGATTACACTGACTCGTCAATGCTTTTCTCATGTTAGATTTCAGTACACCTATAGTAAATATAAAAGCCTTTGTATAAAAGTAAAAAAGGTCTTGTCAATATTCTAGTCAAACATACTAACAACTGACTATTTAGTAGTTTTTTCTTGTCATTAACTACAGTTTGTCACCTATTAATACCGCAATCTTAGTATGATGCATTTTTTATAATAAATTTTTATTGCATATCTTAATAATGCTTTTTCATAATTATATACAGTATTATTTATTAATTATGATACGCGTTGCCAATATTCGGTATAGGACGAAAAGAGCGATATCCAAAACAAAAGCCAAAAACTGTAAAAGCGTCAGTTTAATACCTTAAGCTCGTGTACCTTTCTGAAAGTTCTACCTTTGTTCTTGTTGTCTTATCAGGCGCTTAGTCAAACAGTTATTAGGGGAAGTTTAGTGGAATAAGAAACAAGTCGTTATGTATATTAGAAAACGAAGCTTTCATGTCTTCAAGAAAACCTTCGATTGCCTACAACATATCTAATTGCTTTCTCCTCGGATGCAATGTCGCGAATATATTTATAATTTCTTCAATATACAATATGAACTTCGTGTATTTAGAACTCCTCTCTGCGTTTTTGCTATCCAGTTCTTCCGTAGAAATATCCGGCCTTCGAGAAGTTTGCGATTGGGAGGATCATTACAATAGAAGTCAACAGGGATGCAGTCGCAATTTTTAAAAATTTATTACAAATTTAATTTTCATCAAATAGCTTGTAAATATCGCATTTATACCGTATCTTAGAAATTATATAATACTGTAAAACATATAGGCCTATTATTATATTACACGTATGTTAATATTAGGAAATATTACGATCACTATTTATCGCGTTGTTATTAACCATCGTTGTTGGTTATCTAAATATATAAAATTACTTGTCCAATGTCCTGACTGACTGAGTCACTGATTCATCATCGCCCAGAGCAAACCGCTGAACCTAAAAATGTGAAATTTTGTACGCAGTTAGGGTACGTCATGGAAACACACACTAAGAAGGGATTTTTCGAAATTCCCAAGTGGGGGGAGAGGGAGAGCATTAAGGCTTGACCCGAAGAATGGCTTCTACTATAGTATTTTAGATGCGATTTTTTCTTTTTATATGCGTTTTAGTAGGGTATGCCATGGGAATTCACATTAAGAAAGGATTTTTCTAAATTTCCCCGCGGGGGGGGAGAGTGGAGGATTAAGGCTTAACCGGAAGAACGGCTTCTGCTGTAGTATTTTAGATGCGATTTTTTGTTTTTAACTGCGTTTTGTCTTCATTAAGTACTTAGGTGTATTAAATTGATAAAAATATTTATAACAATGTCTGAAATGTTATCTATTTCTATTTTTAAAATGTTCGAACCGTTTTAAATTCGAATTTGTTATTGCATATTGGTTCGATTATAGAACGATTGTAAACGTTCCAGAAAATTGATCAAATTGAAAATAGTTCGTTTGATTCTCGGCAATTCTCTTCAGCGGTAGGTGTTATATAACAATTACTATGGTTATTGAAATATTGANAACTATTTTCAACGTTTCTGGAACGTTTACAATCGTTCTATAATCGAACCAATATTCGAATTTTATGTTCGAATTTAATTCGAACAAATTCGAACAAATCATTCGAAATACAAAGCCACTTTCAACCACTTTCAGCCTCATATCTCCTGCACCCTTATAGCTATCGAGACGCAACCCCCATAGTGCACGAATGGAGACTTGGGGCTACTATTACATACAAACACCATTCACGTGCGATGTGTAGTTTTGGCGAAAAAGTGAAATATAGGGACATGCATGTCCATCTAAATATATAAAATTGCTTGTCCTGACTGACTCATTCATTCATTCACTGATTCATCATCGCCCAGAGCAAACCGCTTAACCTAAAGAGGTGAAATTTGGTACACAGTTAGGGTACGTCATGGAAACGCACACTAAGAAAGGATTTTTCGAAATTCCAACGCGGGGGGG